ATTACAGATATATAGAATTTCTTGTACAAAGTAAATGCAAAAATCCTTTAGGCTCCTTGCAAGGAGCCTAAATTCTAATGATTGGGAATATATAAGTATATACAGAAAGAATATAAAAACAATAAATACATAATAGATAAATGTAGCTAAGTGGCACAGTGGATAGAGCACTAGGCATGGAGTCAGGAAGACCTAGGTACAAATCCATCCTCAGACCTGTACTAGGTATGTGACCTTGGGCAAGTTACTTAACCTTGTTTACTTCAGTTTGCTCATCTGTAAAATGAACTGGAGAAAGAAATGGCAAACCACTCTAGTATCTTAGCCAAGAAGACTCCAAAAGGGGTCATAAAGAGTCAGACATAACTGAAAACTGCTAAATAACAACAAAAAGTTAAATACAAATCACTGAAGTCTGTACTTCATTTTCTGAATTTGTAAATGAGAGACAGAATGGAGGAATGAAAGTGATACTGCACTTGAATGATCAGACTTTGTTTAGAATTCTGACTTGTATTTATTAATTCAGTTCCACAAACTTTTATTAAGTGTCTGCTATGTGCTAAGCACTGCTCTAGGTGCTAGGAGACCAAAAGAAAGAACAAAGAGAAAAAGAAAAAGAAGAAAAAAAACCATTTCTATTAACTGCATTAACCAAGGAAAGTCAGTGAGGCAACCTCTTTGAGCCTCAGTTTTCTCAGCTAGGAAAAGGGGATAATTTTTGCAGCTACCTAACTTATTGGGACATTATGAGGATCAAATAAATCAGGTATGCCAAAGCTATATGTAATAGAAATTCTTGGTTCCACATACAATCCTCTTTCTTTGTTTTACCTTATATAAGGAAATGCCCCCCTTTTGGGGTGTTCAATTAAAATCATGATTTAAAAAAACTCTAAAATTTAAAAATGAGTTCCACAAAGCAGTAATTATAAACTGCTATTATTAACAATAATGCCTTCCTTGGCTACTTTAATGGAGTGTTATAATCATCAAGTGAGAAAATGGTTATGCATGTTCTTTGAAAGGTGTAACAACTATACATGTAAGAGACATGATTTCCATATATTTGTTAAAGTTATAACTCTGGGATTTTTAAAATCTCTTGAATTTTTATCTATTTGAATATCAATTAAAATTGAATCCTTAAGATAGAATCCTCAACCTTTTTTTTTTCACATTCACAAATTTTAGCCCAAATTTTGGTGGAACCTACTTCTATTTGTTGTTTCAATTAGAAGCAGGTTACCAAGAAGGGCCAATTTGTGCCTCCTATCCTATGTTAATATGACTAACTTTGTTACTGAGGAAGGCAGGGTACTGAACTGGAAGACATCCAGAAGAGCTGGATTCTAGTCCTAGCTCTCCTACTAATTTGCTGGGGCAACTTGAACAAGTCACTTCAGTTTCTTGAGCCCTATTGTTCCCATATGTAAAAGGTAGGGGCTGGTCTAGATAATTTATAGGATTTAGAATGCAAAACCTTTCCCGTTTGTACTCCATTAAAATGGCCTTTGATATTTTTGTGAATCATTGCTATGCCATGATGACACATTTCAATTAGGTCTTAGAAATAAAAGCATATCGCTTCTGTATTCTTAGAAAATTAATGGATAAAACTCAAAGGATGGGGTTATTATAGATACAAAGATTGCTTGAATTTGATCTCTATCAAGCTGGAAATGATCCAGTGTAGTCTGTAACCCAAAGACCATCATCACCAGCAAATGGGCCATGCCACCTGACAATTTTTTGAGGTGAGGGGAGAGAGGTAGAGAAGGGAGTGCTACTGCTTTGCAAAAGTTTTCTAATGTAGGTGGTGGTCTTAATTAGTTCAGCAAAGACCCATACCAATGAGATCTTAGGTTTCTTGACACCTAAAAATATATGGAAATTATTCTTAATGTTTTTGAAACCTTTTACTGCATTTCTGGTTTAATATTGAAAGGACAATGCTATGTCTCTCTTGAACAAATTCTCATCTTTTTCCTCATCATATTACTTGACAATGGAAACCCACTGATTAGAGTTAATATCTGCATTCTATAAGCCATCTACCTGATATTTAATAAAGATTCATAATGATGTATTGTTGAATAAAATGACTTTTCTTCACTACATGTATATATGTTCATTAGCATCCCCCAGTCAAGGACTGAATATTATTCTCCCATTTCCATTATCCTTATAGGGAGATAAAAAGGAAGAGCCTGCATATATAGAGTACCCTCAGTTAAGAGAAAAATTTCTACCACTCCTATGAATTCTTCTGAAATTCAAGTGATTTTTGCATTTACTTTGTACAAGAAGACATTGTCCCATTTTCTGTAGGGGGGAGTGAAGATGGGGGTGGGAGGGTTCTAAAATGAACAGGACACAATCCTTGACCTCTAGGGGTATATAATAGGATATTAAAAATATGTAAGCAAATAGGTAAAACACATGGTGGTATGACAGTACTTCTCAGTACTTTAGGGAAGAATCAACCAAAATATAGTCATAGTCAGCTAGATGGCACAAGTGGCTAGAGCAGTAGACCTGAAATCAGAAGACCTTAGTTCAAATATCACTTCACACACTTAGTAGGTATAACACCCTGGGCAAGTTACTTAACCTCTGTCAGTCTCAGTTTCTCTGGATGTAAAATGGGGTCAATACTGGTACTTACCTCATAGAATCATTGTAATGATCAGATGAGACATTTGCAAAACTCTGCAAACTTTGAAGTATTATAAATGCTAGTTATTATTATTATGAGAAGAAAAGGAGATGGAGAAAGAGGAGGAGAAGAAAACAGGGCAGATTTTATTAAGAAGATAGTTGGAGTGTTTCAGACAAAATCAAGAGTCACTGTAGTTATTCCATTTATTTATTTCTTGCCTATTTTGCCCAGGTAAATCCCAGTTCATGGTCTTCTTTTTAGGTACATTATGCCTCAGTGTGAATCTTTTGACATTCGTCCTATCCTAAAAGAGATGAAAGTTGGATTTTGTGTGTGTGTGTGTGTGTGCGCGCATACATAGCAAAAGACAAATCTGATCTTCCTTATATCTAGTCTGTACCCTCTGGTTTGGACCCATCCTTTCCTATTTTATATTTGTTTGCATGTCCTATTTCTCTTATTGTAATTCTCTCTCTAGGAACATTGCTTCTCATAGAAACCATTAATAGTTCTCCATTGCCTATGGAACAAAATCCAAATTCTTTGACCTAGCACTCAAGATCTGTCACAGTCTGGCTCTAGCTTACCTTTCTGACCTTTTTTTCCCCAACTACTTCTCCATTTGATCAAATTGTTATCCCCAAATACTTTGTACTTGTGTCCCATTCTCTCTTCCTAGAATATTTTCCCCTCTCTGCCTTCATAAATCCTTCTTTCAAGGCCCTGCTTAATTCCCATCACTTCTATGAAGGTATCCTTGCCTACCCCTTCTGAAAATGATCCCAGCCTCCACTGAATTACTTTCTCATGGCCAGGGCTGAACAAATACTAAATTACCCTTTCACAATGGCATAGAAACTTCATCACAATGCCTTATATATCTAGAGAAGTGCAGTTCATTGCTCTCACTCATGAACTTTCATGTTTTACCAGTGTGATGACTTGAAGGGATTAAAAAGTCCCTAGCCACAAATAGTGCTAATTAGTCAAACATTATTGAGGACTTAGCTTCCTGGGGTGAACCTCAGGCTTCCCAGAACTTACTGTTCTTGTTCCAGCTCAGGAATGAACTCTACTCTCTGTAAGCACGTGAGGGGAGAGGAGATGGACGGAGTGGAGCAGGGGCTACCAGTATCTATGGATACTCATCCCTTACCCCCTCATATATACCAGGAAGGATTCTGGACAGAAATGAGTGGTTCCTTCTTTGAATATTTGAAGAGAATTCTTCCAGAAACTTCTGTAGTACTGAAAGGATTCTTCTTTTTTTCTCAATATGAAATTCAGAACTATTGTCCTACAAAACCATGCTGTCTTTTTTCCTTCCTCCCCCCAACTTTCCTTGAAAGCTAAAAAGGTGAAATGAGTCCTGAATTTAGGGGCTGGCCTCTAGATCCAATGCAAATTTGTCATGCCTGCTCAAAAGTATCTCTGCCTTTGAACTATGCTCTATGAATAATAAATTGTTTAAGAGGGACAATCACTATTCTTTTTTTTTCATTCCTTTTATCACCTTTGGAGGAAATTCCTTATGTGGGAATATCAAGTTTAACAACCTTTCCTGAAAGTCATTTCCCATAATGAAAATGCTGTCAAAAACCTTAACTCTATCTTCAGCAGTGTTGGCAGTACATTATACAAAATGAATGCTATAATAGTAATCTTGACAGGGTAAAGTCTCCAGCTTCAAATGTATTTATTTGTTTATTTGCTTCTTTCTTCCTTATTTTCTTTCAACAGTTCTATATCATCAGTTTAAAAGTAGTGAAATTAGAAAAGAACCTTGTTCTTGTTATTGTCTATCTCCTCTGTTCATCTTTTAGTTTTTTAGTAATATAAGCTTGTACCCATTCATTGCAAAACTCACCTATCATCACAAGTTTCTATCAATTTAAAATTAAATACAAATTAAAAACTGAATTTAAAATTCAGTTTTTCAAATATTCTCCATTATGTGTAGCCATGGATGCACAATTGAAAAGTGAGTCCTCTTTCCATTTTTTTGTCCTCATTTCCCCAGCACAATCATGGCACAATTCCTTCAACATACTGGGGACTTAACTAAATATTTCATGAATAGAATGAAATGAAATTGCGGCTACATCTTCCTCTCCCCAATATCTCTATATAACCTTCAAAACAGTTCAACAGACTCTTGGCAAAGATCATGTAAACAAAAGATTATCCCTCTTGTTCATTTTCTCAAGGAACTGGGCAATTTATGAATACAGAGGATGAGAGCACAAAATTATATTCTTTAACCTTAATGTTCTCTTATGTTCATATTTTGTTAAATGTCAATGGAGTCACTTAATCACTGTGAAATCTTTGCTTTCAGATATCAACATGGCTGGAGAACCCAAACCCTATAGACCCAAACCCGGAAACAAGAGGCCCCTTTCAGCTCTTTACAGGTAAATTGATAACTACAGTGATGGAAAATAGAGCAATGATCTAATTTGTTTATTTTTGTATTATGATTGTGATGATCGTCAGCATTCATTTTTTAAATTATTCCCATTTTATAATATACTCATAGGACTTGGAGCAATAGAAATGGTACAGAATAATAATCAATGGCAACAATAGAGAATAAAATTGAGGGTAGTCAGAAGGCAATCTAAACCAATAATCTTAGAAAAGTAATCTTTAAAAAAAACAGTCCCCCTTTTCCTGCTTCTTACTGAATAAAAAAACAAAGTACAATCATTTATTTCAAAATAGATTCTGTTTCACTGTTGTATAATGGATAATTTTGAAATGAGAATGGAAAAACCCAAATTCTAATCCCAGATTTGCCAATAGCTAGTCATATGACCTGGAAGATATCATATAACTTTTCTAGGTATCAACTTCTTCATTTGTAAAATAGTCAGACTGGATGAAAAAAATCCCCTATATCCCATTTGGATAAAATTCTATAAATATAAAAAATGGATGAGGAAGGATTTACATTGTACTTAATAAAATAATATTAGCTACTTTATTTTATTCAAAAAAGTTAATATATTTTAAAATAAAATAAGTTAGGGCAGGATGATTGCTTGTTATGGATATTATAGAAAGGTTATATGCTGCAAGTGAGAGTTAGACAAGATGATCTCTAAGGTCCTTTTTCACTCTAAAATTCTCTTAAGATTGGATGATTGTGTAGGTTTTGGTATTCTAGACTTAATTAAAGTATATCTGAACACAATTATCCCTAATTTTTGCTACAGATTTCTCATAGAAGTATGGTTTCATAGTACCCTCATCTAAATCTATTCTCTTGTAATTGTTCACACTGAAATTCAGAGCTTCGTTGATCAACAAAAAGCAAATTTTACTTTTGATAACTTTCATCAAATATAAAAAGCAATGTTTTTAAAAGAGATAAATGCAAATGACTCTGAAAGGACATTCATTTTCTAAATGTTCATGCATGGCTGCATATAATGGAGAATGTTTGGAAAAATGAATTTTAAAGTATTGGAAGGTAACTGATGTCTTTGTCTTTCTTTCTCTTGTCAAAAATGCCATCCCTGACTTTAAGAATGCTAGTTTTCATTTCTCTTGTTCCTCTATCTTCCATTGATTTGATCTTTTTATGAGAATGTAGCTTGAGTAACAAGAAGCAATGTCTTCACACATTTTAAAGTGCATTTTTAAATTCTTAGGGAATTTCGTGACAGAGTGCTGCTTAAAAAGAAAAGTTGAAATTCATTTTCATCAGCTTGACAGGGCATCAGAATTGCTACAATATGTACAAACCTACTTACAATGGGGCCTGTTGCTGGCAATGTACCAAAAAGACACACTACTTTCAACAATTTTTGCTTTTTAAATTTGTCTCTATTAAGTTAGTATTTAGCTGCATTGGCAAGTAAGAAGCACGAGAGTACGTACAGAAGAGAGTAGTCTGCTGCTTTACAAGCAGTGCCTTTTGAGAGAAAAAAAACACTGCATTTCTCACATTTCTCATTTTTGCTATAATTGGGTCAAGATTCCCTGAATAGCTGTCTATACACTTGTCATAAAGAGGATATGTCATGTCATCAAATATAGACATCTATCAATCCCTTGTGCCTCCCCCTTGCCCTGCCTTTCCTTTTCCCTAATCCAATGCAAAAAAGTACTTATTAAGCAACTGCTATGAACAAGACATTGTGTTGGGTACTAGGGGCATATAGACAAAACGAAAATAGTCCAATGGTCTTATGTTCTAATAAAGGAAAACAAAATATGAGCAGATAAATGTACACAAAGTTGGCATATTTCTTATGTGTATGTATATGTGTGTACATATACGTGATGTGTATATATACATAGTATATATGCATGTGTATATAGTGCATATATGTGTGTGTATGTATATATACATATATATGTATATATATATAGATATGCTATAGCATGTACCAAATGATAATTTGAAGAAAGAGATAGCACTGAAAACTAAGGGGAAGAAGAAATACTTTCCACAGGAGCTGGCACATGAGCTGATTCTTGAAAGAAGCTGGGGATTCTATAAAGCAGAGATAAGGAAGGAGTCTTCTGCGGACATTGTGTGCAATGCCATTGAGGCAGGTCTAGAGTGCCAAGATCAGGGAACAGCAGGTAGATTAGTTTGGCTAGAACATAGAGAGTGAAGAGGAGTGATATGTAATGAACCTGAAAAGGCAGGCCACAGCCAGCTTGTGAGAGGCTTTAAGTGGCAAGCTAAGGAGTTTGGAGGTTATCCTAGAACAGGGGTCCTAAACCTTTTTTATCATAGACCCTTTTGACAGTATAATGATGCCTATAGACCCTTTCTTAGAATATTATTTTTCAGAGCACAAAATAAAATATTTAGGACTACAAAGGAAACCAATTATATTGAAATATAATTTTTCTTTAAAGTTTATGAGCTCCTGGTTAAGATCATTTGTCTTTAGAGAGTGGAGAGCAACTGAAATTTCTTCAGCAAGTGAGTGACATGGTCAGACATGCCTCAGGAAGAGGATTTTGGTTATTGTTTGTCAGTTGGACAGGGGACAAATTGCAAGCTGGGAGTCCCAATAGTACAACTATTGGAATAGACTTGATGAGAAGTGGTGAGGGCCTAAATTAGAATGGTGGCCATGTGAGTGGGAAAATGTACCTTGTGGGGTATTAAATGTTTTACTGAAAGCACATTTTACAATAACAAAAATTGTAAAACTTATCCAACTCACTCTTTGGAAAACAATAGCCAATAATCCATTTCAGTAATCCCCTGCTTAGATTATTGCAGCATCCTCCTAATTTTTTCTCCCTACCTCAAGTATCTCCCCCCCTTAAGTCCATTATCCACCCTGCTGCAAAAGCATTTTAACTTCAGTGTAAATCTGACCATATCACTTCTTTGCTCAGTAAACTCCTCCAGATCATATTACTTCCAGAATAAAATATTAACTGTCCACTGAACTTTTAAAGTTTTTCACAATCTGGCTCCAACCTATCTTTCTAGGCTTATTGTACATTACTCCCTTCTTTTGCATTCTGCAATCCAGCCAAACTGGCCTTCTTTCTCTCACACTTACTTAATCTCCCACTTTTAGTCTTCATACCTTTGTACTAGCTGTCTCCCATACCTGGAATGCACTCATCCTCACCTCCAACTTATGGAAACCCCCTCTTTCTTTCAAAACACAATTTGAGCACCATCTTCTATAGGAATTTCCCCTGCCTGATTGTCCTTCTTCCCTCCCTTGTTATCTTGCTAGAGTTCTTTCTCTCTGTCTCTGTCTCTCTGTCTATCTCTGTCGCTATCTGTCTAGCTATCTGTCACTCTATCTCTCTCTGTCTCTTTCTGTCTCTTCTGTCTCTCTCTTTCTGCCTCCCTCCATCTCTCCCTCCCTGCCCTTTTTCTCTCTCATTATATAATATTGAACTACTTTGTATTTATTCTGAATATATTTATGTACATATTTTTGTCTTCCTTATGAGAACATAAGGTCCTGGTTAATAGAAATTATTTCATTCAGAGCAATTGTATCCCCAGAGCCTGGCACATAGTAAGTGCTTAATAAATGTTTGTTGATTGATTTTTTTTAAGTATTTGATGTGATCCTAATGATGAAAAATGTATTCTCATAAGCCTCTATGGTGCCCCTTAGCAAAATACTGTGTCAATGTCTTAAAGAATAAGTTGACCTAGAAGAAGTGAGCACTTTAATAAGCATGTTTATGCTGAGTTCCATCAGTGCTTGTTTGACATTGATGGTTATGTCATGATGACAACCAAAATACAAGAGATTCAGCTTTACAATATTCTCTTCTTGGTGCAACATAGCTGAAAATTTTGTAGCACCATGATCTCTGCAGAATAGAAATCAACTTCAAAAGGTCAATGGAAAGACAGATGGTGAATGTGAGAAAGCCATAGCAAATTACTAATGATGATTTGACATAAGAAGTGGTCTGAGATATAAATAAGCAAACGTGACTAGGAAAAGAGGTAACCTTGACATCATATATTGACAGTGAGGGAAGACGAATGAATGGGAAAAAAATACTTATTAAGCACTTACTGTATGCCAACATTTATTAATATCACCAAACACAATGCTAGGGCTTGGGTAATAAATACAAATGCAAAGATAATCTATGTTCTCAAGTAACGTAAATTATAGAAAGTGACAACACATATAGAGAATGGTAGACAGGGAGGTGTATTTCAGCAAGAAAAGTCACAGGGCTGGTTAATGGAGCAACAGGAGAGTAAATGGAAACAGTGTTTCTAATTTAACTAGGGTACCAGAATGGGAATATCAAGGGTGAAGGATATGCTGGTATAGGGAGGTAGCTGGCAAGAAGATGGCTAAGGAGTAAAGTGAAACATTTTGGTACTGGCTTAGATAGATAGAGGGCCATGAGACCTTCACCATTCAAGACTGGGGGAACCCCAGAGTGGGGGATCTAGAGCTTAAATGGTTATATTTTTCAGGACATGATCTCTGGTCTAGTTGGCAAAACAGAGATAGTAAGAACACAGCCACTGTGCTAAATGTTGGAGATACAAAGAAAGGGAGAAGACAATCTCTGCTGTCAAGGAGCTCACAGTTCAATGGCTCTAATGGATGGACAATACAAATGATAAACTGGTATCGACAAATTATTGAGTGGCCCATTATGAAAAGACATCAATAAGTATCATAAAAGGGTGAGATGGTATAGAAAGTAGATTGTATCAGTGAAGAATCGGTGATAGCACAGATCCTTTGGGCTACTGGAAGCTCACCTCAGAATACTAAGATGGTAGAGTTGCCTTTATTGTGAATGTATCCAACTAAAGCTTCAGAGGACAGGGCTCTATTTATTTGCCATAACCAAACAACAACAAAAATGCCTTACTCACTTTTAGGTAATGGTCAGAGATGAAATAAACAAAACTGAAGGAGGAGGGAGAGTCAAT